CGGTTCTGAAACCAGATGGTGACCTGGCGCTCGGTCAGGTTGGTGTGCGCTGATATCCGCCTCCTCTTGTCTTTGGTGATGAACTTGTTGGCCGCGTACTCCCGCTCGAGCTCCTTCAGCTGCACCTTGGTGTAGGGCACCCGCTTCTTTCTGCCGCGACGCGCGGAGCCGCCATCCGCCGCGGACACGCTGTCTGAGGGACAGAAGCGGAGAGAAACACAGAGCGTCAGGCCCACCAGCTCAGAGGAGAGCCGTCCATTCAGATGACCGCTCATCTGCCCACAACAGCCCCTCAGTCCAGGTTATACATCCTACTTGAGTGTGGTACTGCTTTCCAGACCCAGACTAATCTCAAACCTAGACTAAAAAAGAATTCCCAATAGCAATTCCCCACTGACTCTGAGATTAGGTTTAATCCAGCACTTTCAGATTTTAATTAGTGCGGTGGGCAGCACTTTGATCAACATGTGGTGTCTTAAAAGTGCTTTCTAAACATACTTAACCAAATAAAAACAGCCTGCCTACATAATCACATATATAATCCACAAAGGTCATATTTGGGGGTAAAAGAGTTGGTGAAGGAATTAGTGTACATAAATGTTCAGGGTTTACATGTAACAATGCATAAAAATAACATTTATATTTACATTTATATTAATATAACCGTATAATACAGTGTAAACGAGTTTAACTTTTCTCTTCAGCTTAAATGATACAGAAAAGTTTATATTTACATCCTACTGGTAGATTGAAAAATTGTTCATTCACATGTGTCAATGTATAAATATAGTAGTTCAACACAAAACACAATCTCTCTTCAAGTTTACCTGTTTGGACAACAACTGTGTTGCAAACAGTCGGCACATTAAAATAATGAAAATTTAAAGCACCATCTTTCAGTGTACATAATGACCTACTTTCCACTTTATTTTACTGCATTACAAGGTAAACGTACCCGATCCTTAAAGTGACGTAAAAAAGATCAGCTACGTTTACCTTGTAATGCAGTAAGAAATAAAGTGTATTTCACTACATTACAAGGTAAACTTACCTGAGCTTTCTTTTTACATCACTTGAAAGATCAGGTACGTTTACCTTGTAACGCAGTAAAACAAATCGGAAAGAAGATACACTGAAAAAATAGTGATATGAATTTTCATGATTTAAATGTGTCGATTGTTTGCAAATGAACAAAACGTGCTAAATTAACACAATTGTTGCCCAAACAGGTAAACTTGAAGAAAGATTGTGTTTCGTGTTGAACTAATGTATTTTATAGTAGTTCAACACACTCATACTGAATTTATGTCCACACTCTTACTGTTAAATAACGACCCCCTCTGCGTTTGTCTGTATTACAGAGCGCACATAGTTTCCTTTTTTCCTCTCACTTGTGATGGGTAAACGATCAGGACAGTCCATATTCGAAGCTTACTGTCAACAATTGGGCTTATTATCCGGTTATTAATCTTAAGAGAGTTATTATTCAGCGACTACCATGAAACTAATAATGTAAGTTGTGTGGAACCGAAGCCTGGGCCCACATACGGGCCTTTTAGAGGTTCGTTTAAACAATAATCCACTCTGAACCTTTCTTCCAACACGTCACAATCCTCAGTCACAGACTAACTGAAAAGCCCCCCAAAATAGTAATGTAGCACATAGTAAGCCCACCTTGAAGGCTGGTCTTCCACAGATGGCCGGGCTGGCTCTGCTCTTTGGGGCAGTACACGGGGCTGTTCCAGCTGTTGGTGATGGCCCAGGGCTGGTAGCTCTCCACGGGCAGGATGGGCTCGTGTCTGGGCTCGGTGGGCACCACGGGCACGTCCAGATAGCCCGGCACGTGCTGGTAGTGTCCAGCTGAGTAGCTTGGGTAAAAGGCGAGCTCCTTGGCCCTGGAGGAGAACTCCGCATCTCCGGAGACTGATGCGTCCGCGGCGAAGGCGGCGGCTGGCTGCGCGCACGGTTTAGCCATCCGGCACGGGTAGTATCCGCCGCCGAAGTAGCCGTAGGGCAGCGCGGGCTGCGGCGGAGGGCACGGTGGCTTGGCCGCTTCGGCCGCGGCGGACGCATGCGCCTCGCTGGGCGCGTAGCCGAAGTGCGCTGCCGCTCCTCCTCCTCCTCCTATGGCTCCTGCTCCTGCTCCTCCACCTCCTCCCGCTCCTCCTGCCCCGAAGCCCTCCATGCCCGCGCTCACGTCCTCCGAGCCGCCGTCGTACAGGAACATGACCGGCTCAGTCCAGCGCGAGGGAAGGAGCACGGACGCTGTCATAGCACGCGCAGCGGCGAGCCCCCTGCTTTCCCCCAGCTCTCCTAGAAAATGCCCCGCCACTGGGGGGAAGAAAAAAAAAACAGAAAGAGAGAGGGAATGTGAGAGAGACAGCGATGCCCGTGCGCGAGAGTTGATTGGACGGAGGGCAGGCACGTGATATGCAAAGAGGACGTGATGGGTGTACGGAGTGGAGATAACGAAATATCAGCAAACTCAGATTTATAATTAAAGCGCTGAAACGAGGCTGAATTGGCTGTGGGGGTCAGTTCATTTAGACTGCAGAGCACGTGCTGGTCAAATGGAGGAAGCTGATTTTTTACATTCAGCCCAAAAATACAGAGACTGAATGAATGGAATAAATGGAGAGATTCGTTGCTTCAGTCTTCACAACAGTCTGCGCGTGTTAATGAAATATCCAGCAAAACCCCGTCAACGTGCTCATCTGTGTTTCAGCTGTGAATGTTTTCTTATCCTGGTGCTTTCGCCATTAGCTGCCCTGTTGTTGGAGACCACTTCCGCTGGTTAGTCTGAAGAAATTGAGGGTGCAGTTTCTTCTAAAACAGAAAAAGATGCTCTCCATCCATCAAATCTGTACAAGCGTAAGCAAAAGTTTAGGCACCCCTGGTCAATACATATATATATATATATATATATATATATATATATATATAGTCGATTTTCTAAGTGAAAATAAGTTAACACCCACTTCCTCACACACTTCTGTACATTTTAATGCACAGTTGCTGTTTATTTGCTGATTTTACAATATTGGAAATACTAAAAACACAAAATGCCTGTGCAAAAGTTACGGCACATTTTGCATTGTGTGTTTTATTATTTTCCCCACTATGTTAAACTCAGCAAATAAAAAAGAAACTGTGCACCAAAATCAGCTGAAAAAATGTAGTATTTAGGTTTGTTCTCTGTAGAGGATGTGTTAAATTTTCACTCAGTAAATCAACGAAACATGTAATTTCACCTGGGGTGCTCAAACTTTTGCCTACGACCGTAACAAGTAGCTACAATGACTGCTCCCCAACGACGCTGCGACAAAACAGAGGACAAAACGACAGCGCATCCGAAAAGGCAGTGATAGAAAAGCATGAACTGGTCGAATCCAGTCAGTCCCACCCTGAGAGCGGCCCAGTGTAAACACTGAGGTGTCCAGCAGCAGGTCCGGCCCCCCGCTCCGGCTCGGCTGGAGGCCAAGGTCAAGGTGAAAGAGCTGCAGTTCAGCACTGGTGACACTGCAGACCTCGACAGTCTGGCAGGAAGCGATCACACATCTCCCCCTGCGCTGTAAGAAAGAAAAAAGAAAGGAAAGACCAGCTCAGGCTTCAGTTCAACCACTGCAGGGCTCATTTTCATCAGAGGATGCAGAATTTGTATGTTTTTTTTTTTGTTTGTTTGTTTCTGGAGCTCCACAGCGCTGAGGAGGTTATGATGGAGTGATTATGTAAAAACTGTAGTTACAGAGAGAGGGAGCAGATAAAAGAGAGAGGGGGGTTTCGCTCTGACGTGACAGGAGAGGGATTTTTACGAGCTGTAGTCGCCTGCGAGAAAACCTAGACACATTATTACAGATACGATTTAAATTTAAATTCAAGTCAACTCGATCTTAACGGTTCGGTATTTCTTACACGATGCTGAAAGGAAGATCTTCAGCGTTTTCAGAGACTCGATGGCTGCTCTTGTTTCTTTGATGAGACTTGAAGTTGAAGATGAACCTCAAACTCTCTCCAGCAGCTTTTTCATCAATGATTCATCATAACAGCTACTGCTGTACGCTTCAAACTGCTGACAGTGAAGGGGGCTAATTAATCAGTCCGTTATACAAGTTAATAAGGCGACAGATATAACGAGAAGACGGCGCAGGTTGCTGACTAAGACGAGCTATTTTCATCGGTCTGTTTATTTTCTTTACTTAAATAGATAAACAACAACATCTTTAGAAATGAATCATCAATCATTAATATGAACTAATGAAACATGTACTTATAATACCGGTACCACTACTACTAATACAATAATAATAATAATAATAATAATAATAATAATAATAATAATAATTAATGTATAATTTATAATGAACAATTAATAGCAAAATATATAGAATTGAATATATAGTATGTTAATTATCTTGATGTATTATTATTATTAGTAGTAGTATTAGTAGTAGTAGTAGTCTTCAAAAAGGTTCTTTAAGAAGTCTTTATTAAAAGCAACGGTTCTATAAAGAACCATGAACACACAAAGAACCATTTTAATTGGTTCTGATGTAAAATCACTTGTATTAATTCTTTAAAAAAAACATAAAATGGTGCTAGTGTTGAAAAAGTTTATTTTTGCTTATAACAGTAATGGAACCTCTTTTGGTGCTATAAAGAACCATTTTAAAGGGTCCTTTGCTCGGTTATGTGGTTCTTCTCTATAATAGAAAACTACTTGTACGTGGCTTTTTAAAGAACCCTTTTAAAATGGTTCTATATAGGACCAAAAGTGGTTCCAGTATTGTTACGAGGGTAAGAAACTTTATGTCAGTACTATACAGAACGCTTTTTGCTAAGTGTGTAATATTAATAGTAACAGAAGTCATGGTTCGTCAAGGTTCGTCAAGCCACGAGGGTAAATATCAATTGCAACATGCAGCTCATTGCACGTTTTTCAGGCTCAGCTTCCTCTTTTCTTTTGCCAAAGTCTAGACTTGTTCGCCACCCAGCAGATCGGAGGAAAGTTCTCCCACAGACACACACGAGGAGCCAGGGCGCTGTCTGCTCCACTACCAGCCTCTCCGAAGGTAACGACTCACAATTTCTCCTGAAATGTAGCAGCAGAGGGTGAGAAAAAAAGGGCATTTGCAGAAATGAGATTAGATGCGCTCCTCGAAACATCTGGATTTGGTGCAGTTTTTCTTTATTCGCAGAGTGTTCGGTTCAGTTCCATGTGCCATTCAGCAGGGCAATTATCTCGCTTTGCTTCTGGCTAGCAGCTTAAAGCAGACTGTGAACAGGCCTATCCAACGCGAAAGGTAGAGACAGAGGAGCTTAGAACAGCATGCAGATAAAAGTGTTCTTATTTTTAGAAACGTAAAATAACCCCAAGCCGAAGAAGAGTAGATATTACAAACATTTTGAGCACAGGAGTGAAAAAGTAACAGGTCAAAAACCTCAAGTCCTGAATTCCCTGCAGAAATGCAGTGAAACTTTTCAACACATAAAGCATTGGTCTGTCAGGCGAGGTGTTTGCAAGAACAAAGTGAAAATAATAACAAAGAAAATGAGTTAGACAGTGAATGTGAAGAACGAAAAAGCAGATTCCTTACACATGTATTAGTAAAAGTATTATCGTTTGCACTCAAGTCCATCCACTTTATTACTTGAGCATAATGAACTGTTCGTCAGTTCAACCTAAAAAAGGCACTTCATGTGGTAACAAGCAGTTCAATAGTTTAATCAGGTCAACACATTTTCATTTGGATGAATAAAAGTAATATTTTAAATCTGTTCAAGCCTTAAAACATTTAATATCAACCTCTGCCCTCCTCCTCTTTCTACCCACCTCTAAGCTGGAGGTAGTAGTTGTGTGATGTGCCAGTACATTATTGTAATATGCATCAACGACACTCACGTTTATGGTCCAATCAGCACAGACGGTGCAGGACACTATAAACAAAACGGAGGGTCAGTCTTAAACGGGTCACTTTAGGAAAGGTGTTGCAGAAAAAGGCAGAAATTTTCAAAAAATATATGTCAAATATGTCAATTACATGGATATTAATTCTGCACTTATCAGAGAATTAAGTCAGCACAGTTGTAGTGCAGTTCGGCTTGGTGTGATGAAGACGTTTAACTATAGGCTGAAGGGACAGCCACTCTGCTTTCTTGCGTTTATGTACCATAAATGGATATAACTAACTGACTGTACGCGTGAAGTGTGCATGATATGAGGCAGGTGTGGCTCGTTTCCCTTTGGGTCCGTTTTGGGTCCGACAGTGTTCATCCACTTCATCAAATACACTTTTCTTTGTTTAATTTCTTTCTTTTTTTTAATAAATTGAAGTTCACATTTGTGTTAATGATCTGATGCCTTTAATGTTAAAGTGTATCCTAAAACGATTGTGCATAGGAATTTCCTATTGAAATTAAATGCATTAAAAGTAGTTAATTTGTAAAATAATTGATCCCAAATTCATGTATTTAGTAAATAAAACATGTCCGGTGATCCCCTTTTATTTTATTTCTGACAATCTGCACATTTTGGCGCCGTTTATTTACAGTTCACTGGAGGAATGTGTTGATCTGTGTACTTGGATCTGAAACAGAATGCAAATCACTGTTTATTGTTCTGTTTACTTATAATTAAAGTTCAGTTAACTTAAAAGTTTTAAGGCAACATGATTGTTTAATTTTTATAGTGAAAACATCTCATTTTCACAGTGAAGAGCTTTAGGGTTTATTTTAAAGCCCAGACAACTCTTTTTCGAGTTGAAATATTATCATTATTTTTATTACAAATATGCACTATTGAGTATCTTTTTGTCCCTTGCCAAAATTCACAGGAGCTCTTACGAGTTTGGAAGGAGACTAGCAGTAATGCTTACATGGAATAAACAGAAATTAATTCATGATTTGGAACATTAAAACTACTTATAATCATGATCATTATAAATATTACGGACATAAATAAATAAATTAACAAATCGTTTAATTTATCAGGCTCCAGTGTGAGTAACGATTATAGTGAGGGACTATTACAGGCGACCATCAACTACCTCTAAATACTCTGAACACACATCTTTAAATCCTTTATTCACAGAGTTTATTCTAAATGAGCTTTCATTATCCTTTTTTCATTAAGTGTACAGTTTCACTATACAGTGATCTCAGCGTCTCAGTCTAAAAGAGGGAATGCACTAAAACTGTGAACTTTTTTTATTTTAAACTGATCAGTTTACTGATATTGATACTAATTTATTATTTGTCGCTTATAAATCAAGCCATAGTCTACGATTGTTCACACTGGTACCCTGTTATCAAGCTTAACTGTATTCTTACACAACACAATTTCCTGTGTTAATGATGTGTTGCCTATAAAGCCTGTTATATAAGGAAAACCTAACACATACACATCTAACCTGCATTTATTTATTTATTTATTTATTTATTTATGTTTTGTTCTCGTTTCACGAATCGCAACCTCAGTTCATCCATTTAAATTGAGCTTAGTTCAGCCTGGCTCCATACTGATAAACACTCTGATTTGAGTCTATCAAATAATTGTCTGAATTTATGGGTTTTGGTGACGTAGCCTCAATAAACCTAAAAAACCCTATTTTAACATTGCCCAAACCTGTATTAATTAAATAATTTGAAAAGAAATTAAATTTCAGGTTTCAGTTTGAACTGTAATATATTTGAATATACAGTCTGCTTTGCCTTTGTTTCTGATAAGAACAAGTTAAGACATGAACATTAATTTTTGCACAAGCTATAACTTTAGCATTATATTTATCACATTTTGGTTGACAATATGCAGGGTAAAGTGTTTTTAGCTGTCTCTTAAAGAGGTCGAACCCAACGACCTGCTGTAAATTTTAACCAGGAGAAAAACAGTCAGTCTGGTCCTGAGTCCAAATCCACCCAGTTAAAGGCTACTTGGCTGATACAGAAACGCTGATAAATCGTCTGAACACAAAACCACTGCATGACGCGTCTAATTACTGAATGACCACGAGGGTTTGTTTTTGACACACAGCGAGTGTTACTGCAAAAAGTATTTCAGAATGAATCTACTGATGGACCAACGCGAAAGATCCTCATAATCCGGTCAGTAATAATTTAGTCAGATTTGACCGAAATTCGAAACATTTTTGATGGCAGCCATCAATCATTACACTAAAGTTGTCATTTTTATGTTATGCAGTCAGAAGTAATTGTGGACAAATCACTTCAAATTAATTCAGTTGTTAGTTAGCCACAAATAACAAGTTAGTTCAGTGATCTGCTCTGTTTAAAAAAACATTTTACGCGAAACTGAGTCATTGCAGCATTTTGAACCAGCATGATTTTTGGCAGTGCACGTGTAGGCATATGATAAGTAAATATACCTTATAAAACATAAAAACGCAGTCTCGATGACGGGATCAATCCTGCAGTCCTACAAAATGGTTTTAAAGTACCTACAAAAATATGGCCAATCCAGCGAAATAAACGAGACAGACGAGGAATTGAGGAAAATCTTTTATTTAAAGACTGAATTCTGTATTTTTAGCGAGGTCGTGCAGGTGTGAATAATAGGTAAATGCAGGTAATCCTGAGCCCATGCAAAATGCATGCCATCTGGTAACAAGCTGACTTGTGCAGGAAAACCTAAAGAAAAGAGCTAGAAATTAACGAACCAAATGTCTGAGAGCAGGCCAGCCACGCCACAGCGGTGCTCTGTTTGGAAGAGCTGTCAGCCAGATAACCCGGCACTTAGGCCTCCTAGCTTAATGGACTTTTTATGGGTTTGTCTTGTGATCATGTGACATCTGGCATTATAGCCTCTGTGTGGGTCTTTGCAGATCTTAACCGTACAGCCACTTCGGTTTCTCTTCTTTTTCCTAATAGAGAGAGAGAGAGAGAGAGAGAGAGAGAGAGAGAGAGAGAGAGAGAGAGAGAGAGAGAGAGGGGTAGCAGGCTGTGTTGTAACTAATCTAGTCGAAGTTGAATTGCTGTGCACTAAATGAAGTGTCACTAAGCATAATATTTTCTACAAATTTTGAGACCAAGTAATAAATAAATGAATTTAGGGGAGCACAAAATGGCTTCAGAAAAATAGTAAATTAGTATGAAATTTGTACTGGACATTTATCTCTTGTACACAATAGCAAGCCTGCAATCCAATGATATCAGAGGCTTTTGCCTTTGCAATCACTGGCCTTAAATCAAAGTTGAGGACCTAAGAGCTGTCTTTAGGAGACAAGCCAGCTGTTTGTATGGTGAGAGAAAATAACTAAATCAGACGTTCAGCTATGGCTCAGTTCAATAAAATTATTTTTTTCAAAAAGAAAAAAAAGGTATACACTGATCATTTAAATGTGTCATTGCAGTGTGTTACATCAAATCAATTCTTGCCAAAATAAATAAACTGAAAGACAGCAATTACGTCAATGTAACATTTTGTTGTTGTTCACAGAAAAACATGTATTTCCAGAAGGGTAACTTTTCAGGAGAAGACAAAACCATTCTCAACTTCCAGTTTAAGCTAATGTAGCAAGAATGTATTCAAAGTGACTTTTGGTCCATCACTTTTTTGACAGCATTGTGTTACTCATGTGTGACTGCTTGACACATTTGAATCATGTAAATTTAAAGGACCTTTTTTTCAGTGTATGGCTGTGCAATACAGCTGTGGTTGTGGACAGAAAGCTCACTGAAGCAATAAGGAAAACAACCCAGAAGTGGTCAGTTCAGTCACAAACACAATAAATAGTGAACATACACATATCTTGCTCATTTACAAATACAGAGGATGCATTGAAAGATGTACGCCTCAGAATGTTTTGTTTGTCTAATATTTATCCACGGCTTCTTTTGTAGGACTGCTGTGTTGGGAAGAGGAGAGTGCCTTGCTTGAGGCTACAACAAAGGAAGGATACTTGACGGGCATTAAAAGTTTCTTGTGCTTGGTTAACATTTATGCCCACTCACTGATCTAAGCAGGAACCCTTAAGCTCCACTATAGTCCATTTTCTCACATTCCTTCTCACTTCAACAACACCAGATCACAACATGTTAAAAACTACAGCAAAAAGAGCCTCAAAAGCTCTAGGATAATCTTTTATGGAAAGACAATGTAAAGATAAAGTTGTTTTCGTATAATAGAAAGGTAGGAGAGTATAAAAAATAAATAAGACAATTCAAAGCATAATTTCTTCATCTTTGAAACATGGCAGAAGTAGTGCTGAGGTTTAGTATGCTTTATATCTGGTTTGGATTTTTGCTGACATAATGAAAAACAGAGCCGGCAGAGCTGTATGGTCACTACAGAAGTGTAGAGAAACATCTCTTATGCCTGCTTACCTCAAATTGCCTTCAGACTCATTAGGCAGTGGTTTAGGCTACTATGCAGAAAAACAAAAGACACTGCTGAGGAAACCAAAGAGTTTATAAGGGACAACAAATGGACATTTTGGAACGTATGAGTCGCTCAATATAAATATCCAATCAAGCTTGCCTTTAACTAGCTAATGTCAGGAAACCTTGAACACAAACAAGAAAAATGGGCAGTGCAAAAACTTGGAAAAACATCCCAGAGATGATAGTGACAAGATGGTGATTTGACTAGTCCACAGTTTTAATGAGGTGCCTGGAATGAGCTCCTTCTCTGTTCAGTTGCGGTGGTGGAGACAAAGGAAAGGAATTTTAGAAACGTAACGTAAAGAAAAAAACATGAAAAAGTTTTAACACCCTTGGGTAAATTAGATGTTTTGTGAAAATAGGTTAACATATTCTCTCTACAAGGACAAAACCTAAATATGTAATTTTTTCTGCTAATTTTAATACACAATTTCTATTTACTTGCTGAGTTTAACGTATTGGAGAAAAAATAAAACATAAATAGAAAATGCACCATAACTTTTGCGTAGGTCACATTTTATTGTTTATTCTTCCAGTATGTTAAATACAGCAAATAAACTTTTGTGCTTTCTGTATACTCTCAGAAAAAAGGTCTCAAACTCTCACTGTAAATGAAAAAACTGAACCTTAAAACCACTGTTGTACTTTTGAGGGAACATTTACATTGTTTGTACTCTGATGAATGAAAAATGTACCTGCACAGAACCTTTATTTCTAACAGTGTAGAGGACATAATTTGACCAGGGATGCTTAAACTGTAAGAAAAAAAACAACATTTCATCTTTAGGCAGCATTACAAATCTGTACAGTAAGTAATCGATTTCAACAGATGTTTTCATTGTGATTTTGTTTATCTTGTTAATCCTCACTGTTGGGTAAAATAACATTCAACGTCATGTTACAGTGAACAATGTGTGTGAAGGTGATAAAGAGAGAGTAGAAGTTCCTGTTCAGCTTGTTTGGGTTTGTCATTCAAAGAGCTACATGAGTGCTTCAGTTGTCAGTGCACTTGCTCTATGGAACATGTCCAAGTACAAGTTCACAAGTGTATCAACAAAAACATGAAAAATGAAAACAGCACATAGCAATCAGGTCAACAATTTTGCAGTAAGTCTACATGCCTACACAAGTTTTTATTTGTATGTACATATTTAAATCTTAAATTAAAGAATTGCTCCTCTTTTTGCAAGGATTCACTTTCTTAACCCATGACTCACATAAGCCAGTGGAAACATGGTTACACCATTGTGAATATATGATGGAAATGCTGGTGGTGGGACAATTGGTCACACTTTTATTGGTTTCATTTGCAACCAATTCATTTGAGTTTTCTCAGCAGTTCATGTTCATATGTTTTTGTGATTATAGTTTGTTATTGTTTATACTTTACTCTGTATTCAACTGTGTTCATTCAGTTTTATTTTGGTATAAATGTTACAAGAAAAAACTTCTATTCATTCTATTTAGATGAAGAGGGGAGATGGAATATTTCCCTTAAAAAAGGTGATGCAAGAGTTTACTTGATTCAAATGGGTGCATTATTTCTATATTAACAAAATATATATCATAAACACAATTGCTTTTCAGTTACTTTGGCAATTATTGTGCCAATCTTGTGCATTTAATTAATGTGGAAATTATGCACATATTTAAATCAGGCAAATTTGATGCAGCACTTTTTCAGTGTTTGAATCTGGTGATGAAGAAAAAACGTCAACGTCACTTTTGGAAGCAAAAAATTAACAGGAAATACCCATAAACCCATAAACCAGCACTTTGACAGAGATAATTATCTCCACATGCTTCACGCTAGCATTACTTTCTGCACAGTTCAGTTGTGAAATTTTACTCTTTAGCTTTTAGACAATGGGGTAACTTCTCTGATGTTCTAAATAAACTCTTAAATGTTGCATTTTAAAATGTGATTAAGCTATAATTGAATATAAAAGTGTGAATGCCATTTCTTTCAATATATTTCAGAATTTATGGTGAAAAGCCCTGGGTTGCTAAAATTGCTCATAAATTTCTACATCCCAATTGTGCCTGAAGTGTGTGAAAGTTGTCACATCTACACTGATCAGTACACATATGGGCTAATTACCCACAGATCACTTAATCCAAAGCCCTGCAATCATGGCAGGACGTTGTATGGGCTGAATAGCCTGCCTCATTGCCACAATGTTTGAGACCACCCTATTAGAAAAACCAGCATAGACAAGCATGGCTGGTCACCTGCAAACCAGTTGTGCTTTGGATGCTGGTGTGCCAGGTGACCAGCTAAACCAACACCAGACCATCACTGGATCAGCATAAACTAGCATAAACCAGTTAAGACTAGCATAGAACTCACGCTGGTCTGTGCTGTTATTTTCAGCAGGGTGAATTTAATCATGCACATCCTACACTCAACATGACCGTAAAAGTGCTCCAATGGGTGTACCAGTACAAGCTTTCCATTACGTCCATTGTTTATTGCCTGAATCTGCTAGTGCAAAGTTTCTTCTGAAATCAAGGGTATTAATAGAGAGTTTGTTCACCTTTGCTGCAGTAACAGACTCTACTCTTCTGGGAAGGCTTTACACTACATGTAGGAACATTATTGTGAAAATTTGGTTGCATTCAGACACAAAAGCATTAGTAAGGTCAGGTACTGTTGTTGGTTGATTAGTTTTGGATCACAAACTCCACTCCAACTCACCCCAAAGGTATTGGATGGAGCTCCATCACTCCAGAGAATGCAGTTCCACTTCTCCACAGTCCAATGCTGGGGGGCTTTATACACCTCTAGGTGACGCTTGGCATTTGGCATGGTGGCCTTAGGCTTAGGTTCGGCAAATCCAGAGCAGTCCATTCTATTGGCAATGCTTTTCTGTGGAGAAGATACAAGCTGTGTACACAGTTAAGTGTCTGTGTCACCACTGGGTGCAACTTAAAGTAGCTGAATTCATTTATTTGAAGGGGTGTCTGGATACCTTTAAACATAAAAAGTACATATGAGTGGCATAAGGCAGCTGACAATGTTTTCTCAAAGGCCACAGCTGATGCTTTCTTTCTACATCTGTGTCATGAAGGGACACTGCCAAACCATCATCACAGAATTGTGAGATCTCCTCTACTTGTTCTAGACTGATCAAATGATTATCATAATTTACACAAACCCCATGCTAATAATATATCACAATGGGAAGGATTTAAGATGTGTCTTTCTCTTGGATGGACTCTACAGAGCAGGGGTGCACAACGCTGGTTCTGTGGCACTGGTGCCCAGCACAGTCTGGTGATTTTCCTGCTCACACCTCAAAAACTCATTCATACATCAAAAACACATTCACCTCCCCTGTGTTTGAGCAGGTGAATTACCAAACTGTGGTGGACACCAGCCCTTCAGGACTCTTGCTCTAAAGCTGTGGATTCCAAGCCTGGTCCTGGAGAGCTGCTTTGCTGCAGAGTTTAGTTCCAACCTGTATTCAGTAAGATGCCCCACCCCTTGCTTAACTCTAATTCAGCCAACTTGTAAAAAGGTTGATTAGCTGGAGCAGGTGTGGCAAATTGTGGTGGGAACTAGGCTCTGCAGGAAGGTAGCTCTCCAGGATCAGGGTTGAAGACCACTGCTCTAGAGACTTGAACAACCTTTCTTTAGTTTAGCTTTAACCCTAATCCACAACACCTTACCCACCCAATCAACCTCTTTAGAAGACCCCTTAGGGCTAAACTCTGCAGGTAGGTAATTCTCCCGGAGGAGGGTTGGTGTCTTCACAGGTGTTTACTTTGGCACACAAGCAGAAATTCCTTTAGACATCTTTCTTTTAAGACACTACAGTATAATTACTCTAAGGCTACGTTTACACAGCAGGTAAAAGTGGCCCAAATCTGATTTTCTCACCAAATCCGATTTTTTTGTTTGGCTGTTCACATTATCTTTTAAATGTGACCTGTATGTGACATCAGTCTGAACAGATCAGCTCCTAAACTGACCCGCATGCGCAAAAAAAAAACAATGCTTCACGTGACGGCTCGTCTAGAGGTAAACAATCACGACGGCCAGCCGCTCCCGCAGCTTTCAGTTTCGTCTTCGCCAGCATCACATGACCGAGTATAAAGTTCCAGTGGTTGACAGCTGGACTCATCACCCACAATCTGTTCGAGTTCGCCGTAAAAAGGGCGCGTTATTCGGCCACTTCTTTGGTTCGTGTCCTCGGATTCATTTAAACTGTTCTCTGACGCTGCAGCCTCGGGCTCCTCCGGCCCGCCTTCGGCCGTTCCGTTCGAAACCTCTTCGAACACGGAGCGGTTTGATGAGTCTCTTCTAATGTTTTGGTGCAGAAACATCAGACTAAATGTTTGAGTCTCGGCAGCGCGAAATTATGACGAATGTAGAGTTGCACTGACGTAAAAGTCGCATTGCCTCAGATCGGATATGTATCGGATTTCAGTACCACATTTGAAAGCGTCTCAAATCGGAATTGAAAATATCAGATTCAATACGGTTTTTGCTGTTCACACTGACACACAGATGACACATCTGTGTCACATTTGAGGAAAAAGATCGGATTTGGGCCACTTTTACCTGCTGTGTAAACGTAGCCTAAGACTGAGGTTCTCAATCCCAATCCTGGTGACGCCATGCTCTGCACATTTTTGTGTTCTCCCTATACTCTTCATACCTGACCCAGACCTCGAGGAGCATGGTAATCAGTTAATGAGTTGACTCAGGTGTGCTAGATGAGACAAAGCATACAAAAAGACTGGGGTGTCGCAGGATTGGGAACATCTGCTTTAAAATAAAGAACTCACACTTCACTCTCCAGTTTACACATAACTGCGGTCGTCGTTAGACGCTGTTGACCATGAGGTGCAAAATCAGGTATTCGGTACAAAGTATAACATGTAAAACATTGCATTCAATTTTCCAGGTATGTTTGGTAACCCACTAGGTCAGGATGTCCAATCCTATCCGCAAAGGGCCGGTGTTGGTGTAGGTTTTAAGAAGAGCACACCTGATTCCACTCGTTTAATCAGACAGTCTCAACACTTTCAACAACTGATCATGTGATCTCCCGCTTTGTTACAACAAAAACCTGCAACCACACCGGCCCATTGAGGATAAGATTGGACACCCCTGTATTAGGTCATCTTGGAACAAAGTGGACTCTGTTCATATACAAGCGTAGCCTACAACTCGCTGAGAAAGTGCTTACATAAAAAGTCAATCAGAAATACTAGCTTTGGCTAAATGTGAGGAAACACCTCAGAAAGCCGGGAAAAAATTAAAGTAGCCGCATTCTGACCACCTATTGCATCTTCCAAAAAAATCCCATTAGAAATAAAGTCTACGTTGGTTTCTGCAGAAAACGCCCGGTGTGACCCTCACACTTCTTTTGGCAAATTCTAGTGACCGTGTAAGGAAGCGATGTGATCTCGAACGTTTGGATGCTATTTAAACTCTTCTGCTCCAGGCGGAGATTTCCGCGTCATCACGTATTGAATCGGTCCGGGCTGAGCGCTCCAATCAGAATGACCTTCATCTTCTGCCTGATCCACTACAGGCTGAGAAAAAAATGTTTTTAGACACTTAACACGCCAATTTTACACTATTTTCCACAAGTAGCCTGTTCACATTTTGATGCACATTTTTGTTTTCCATTTGCGATTTTCTCACATCATGATTCATTCATTTCCCCTTTAGCATGTGTGATCTCATGGTGTAACAGGTCACATGTGATCACATAGTGACATGATGGTATCTGTAGACACAGCCACGCTAGACCTTAGGATTCCAGAAACTGGGTTAATGGCACATTTAGAAAGGGACAGTTGAATCAACCCATAGCGTTTTGATTTCCAGTGGGTGAGGCCAGTCTCGTGAGTAAAAGTAGTCTCCACACTAGGCTAGCAGAAATAGCATATTTCTATATAGTAGAATAGAAATAGTAGATCTCCCTCGAGATTTGACATTTATATATCTAATAGTCACAACAGGGTCACATTTAATTCACATGTCAAAGATGTTTACTTGTGTTTTTGCTATGTGTATATATATGTATATATATGTATGTGTGTGTATATATATATATATATATATATATATATATATATATATATAGGCACGACCTCTGTTCTTCTAACATTACAACTTACAGCTGTATAGTCCTTACAGCATTACAATCAGATTCTTTAATACAATAAGAATGCACTGGATCAGGATGCCATACAGACATTGGGAATCTAAAGAACCCTCTAAAAACATTTGGAGTTCATTAGTGTAAATATGTTACTCAAGTATTTGCAGGCTGGATCTGGTAACAAGTAGATTCCTCTTTCAAAGCTGTACCAAGCTTTAATTTCTAACGTGCCCAACCAGATTTTGATATCTGTATTTTTTATATTTTTATTTTCTTTATTTATTAATAGTGATACATGTATTACTTTTTACAAACCCCCTTTCCCTACAGTATTAGTTTCTTCCAAAAGTTTCAGGATGAGATCAGTTCTCAGCAGCAGTTACACAGTACTCTGTGCGCATCAGTGCTGAACGGTTGGTGACCGGAGTGTTGCTGAAGTGGTAGGTAGAGCATCAGTCCCTTTTTCAAACGTATGAAAATGAAACACAATTAGTTAAACACACTTGAGTGCATTTGACAAACATAAGCACAGTTTACTTTGCAAGATAGTTGGCTATAGAATCAGCTGAAGTTAGTAGCCATCCTTCAGTCTGGTTGTTTAGCCTTCTGGCTCGCTAGCCAATCGTGACTTGTGATAGCATAGCACCGTATTTAATACTGGTAAAGGGGAGCTGTGTAAGTCTTGAGGCAGTGAGCGTTATGTGAAAATACAGCTATGTTAGAAGGTTCCTTTCAGCTGTGGCTTTATTATCTATGTTCTATAAATTGATTTGGATTGTGGATGTAGTCTTTTTTGTGAACTTATGTCCCTTAATTTATACCCTCGTTCCAGTGAAGCAGACAAGATTTAGCTCTTTCCAAGAAAAGTGGCAGCAGTGTAAGGTAGTGTAGAAGTGAGGGAATAAGTGTCATTTTCAATTGTAACAGCACACATAACTGAAAATATGATGTGAGAATCTCAAAATATACAGTTTTTTACCCTAATATAAAGGGTGAGATTACTGAGGTACAAAAACTGCTTTAGTAAAGTTTTAAAATAATCCTCACAAAGTCTTCAAATATACACTATATGGACAAAAGTATTGGGAGTTTGGTGGAGGAGGGATAATGCTATGGGGTTGTTTTTTAGGGGTTGGCCTAGGCCCCTTAGTTCTAGTGAAAGGAAATCTTAATGATTCAGCATATCAAAACATTTTGGACAACTGTACGCTTCCAACTTTGTTGGAACAGTTTAGGGAAGGCTCTTTTCTGTTCCAGCATGACTGTACCCCAGTGCATAAAGCAAGGTCCATAAAGGCATGGCTGGGTCAGTTTGGTGTGCAAGAACCTGACTGGCCTGCACAGAGCCCTGACCTCAATCCCTTTGAAGAAATTTGTGATGAACTAGAACAGAGATTGTGAGCCAGGCCCTCTCGTCCAACATCAGTGTCTGACCTCACAAATGCTCTTCTGAATAGGCAAAAATTCCCACAGACACACTGCATCATCATGTACATGTACATCACAATCATGTAGAAAGCCTTTCCAGAAGAGTAGAAGCTGTTATAGCTGCAAAGGGGGGACCAACTCCATATTAATACCTATGGATTTAGAATGGGATGTCATAAAAGCTCATGTAGGTGTAATGCGTAGGTGTCCCAATACTTTTTTATCCATATAGTGTATACGTCAAATTGCAGAAAACTGCATCATCTTCTCTTTATTCCCGGAAAAGTACCCCCATGAATTTTCGCTTGCATGATACCCCTGCTTGTAGATACCACTGCAAAGCTGAAGTTGTCAAGGTACATTAAAAACCTAAACTGAGCAGGCAGAACACTCGAAAACACAAACATGGGACAGCACCACTGTTTAGAAAAGACTAAGAAGAATGAGAACAGAAAAAGATAAGCAGTGTGGTTTACTGAAACACAAGTTAAGGTGTACCGTGGCTCACTTTCAGGTGCAGTGAGTGAGTGTTTAGTGGATTCAAAAAGTGTGACTTTCTCATTGCAGTTCTCACTGCCAGTTCCTCCGACAGAAACCATCAGAACAGTTGCAACAACGATTATACTCCTCATAAAGTCAATCTACAGAACAGACAACGTAAACAATCAAACAAACAAGAAAACCACTGCCTTAGCTTCAGAGTGTCTAGAGTCAAATATTGGAGTGCGGTTTGCACAGGGCAGGCCGAAACAGGTAACATGATTCCAAAACAAGTTACAGACTTGATTTTAACTTTAATTTTAAACATTCACACTTTCCACTCACTCATTAGACGAGTCTTAGAGAACAAGCATTTCAATGCTGCACAAACAGTGTGCAAACATTACGCTCGCCAAGTCCTGGAGAGGCAGGCAGAGTAGGATAAGGCTATGTACAGGGATGGAAAGTGTCGTCCCTACTGGCCCTCCTCCTCTCGCAGGAACTGGAAGACGGAGGAGAAGTCTTTATTGGCATAGCCACGTGCACACATCATGCGATATAACTGATGAGCCACTGAACCCAGTATCACTGGAGTCTTCGTGTTTGTTGCTGTGTTCTGTGCAAGTCCCAGATCCTGTGGCAAAACAGTATGTTAAAATGTTTAACAAAGAATATTTTTTTAACAAAAAATAATTTTTAACAAAATGATAAAAGCTCATCATTAGATGTAGTGCTGCCAAAATGAATAGACAAAATAAGTAATGTTGGTAGTAAAAGTTGGCTGGCCTTAAATCCTATCACTTGAAAATGTTTATGCTGATTAAAACAGCATTTTACAGGCCAAAGCAGAAGATACGTTGCTATGTTCCTGAGAAGTCTTACAATTCTGTAAATATGACTTAGAGTGAATGTTATGTTTGAAAAAGCATTGTGTAAAAGAGAAATAATGCTTGTTTTTCAATTTTTAAAGGGCTTATATCCTACTTTAAATTTACTTTATATTCTATATTGTGCCTCATTCAAAAAGCACTCAGCTGAAGCGCTTCTTATAATGTCAATAAGAATGGGCGGGGCTGAACTGATGTAGGCTGAATAGTAGATATAAGGTAATGTGTTGGTGCTCGCGACATCACGATAACATTAAATTCAAAACACGTTTTTGCAGCTTAGTTTCTGTCTCTTACTCTCTTTTATATTCTGTGGACCTGGTAGTGAATGGTATGTTATGAAACCAGCAAGGTTTACATATTACTCATATTCAAAATATGCAATGTTTTTATTGACAAAACAATAATGGCAGATTTCCTTATCACAAATAATTTGCAATCCTAAATGAATCCACTATAGGTTAGGTCAAAGGTAAATGACCTTGGCAGAGTATTAAAGAGCATAGGAGACAGAACAAGAGAAAAGACAAAGGAAAATCCTACCTTGGTCATTAGTGTGGTTGCAAACCCTCCCTGGTAGTTGTTTGCAGATGGCACTCCCTCCATCACTCCTGGCACTGGATTATAGGTGTCACTAGACCAGCAGCGGCCCGAACTCATGTTTAGAATCTTTGCCAGCAGCTTAGGATCTAGCCCAAGTCTGCCCAAGTAGATCAGAATAGAGGTTACTTACATCATCCAATAGAAACATAAAGCGATCAACAGTATCTGCAGAAGAAACTCTGACTCAAAAACATTCACATCCAAAGAGAAATCGTCAGTTATACATATCAGCTAAATCAGGGACTTACAAACTCCTTTCTAGAAAAGTTGGGACATTTTGGAAAATGTAATAAAAACAAGAATTTGTGATTTGTTGATTCTCTTGAACCTTTATTTAACCGAAAAAAAGTACAAAGAAATGACTTTTAACATTTTAGCTGGCCAATTTGTGAAAAGTTTACAGAATATTCAAGTTAAACTGTTTTGAAACACTTCACAATAAGCAGGTGAACTGGTAATAAGTGAGGGTATCATGATTGGGTATAAAAGTTGGTGTATCCACCAAAGGTTCAGTCTTTGCAAGCAAAGATGGCTCCTGGCTCATCACTTTCTGCCAGACTTTGTGAGAAACCTGTCAACCAGTTCAAAAAGAACATTTATCAATGTATGACTGCAAAAAAATTAGGTCTTTCATATATACTGTACATAAAAGTGATTGCATTTACATGCACTTAATCCAATAACTTCTGAAAATCAGATTGTCAGTAATCCACTCAATCCGCCTACATGAGTCAGGCAATCAGATTTCTGCTTTACAATCTGCCAATAAACTCACAGAAGACAACTGTATTTGCACATGCACAGAATGAGAAAACTGAAAGAAATCAGAGTAAGGGTTTATATGCAATGAAAAACCCGATTGCTGAGCTAAAATCCAACTCTCCATCAGATTTCTAGGTCTTAGACTAATCTAAGAAATCAGAGTATGCTGTTTACCACCTGAATAATCAGATAACTGCAGAAATCTGAAGAAATCACAGGCCAAGTAGGGTAAGGCCAGAAACCAATATTGAATGTGGGTGACCTTTGAGCGGCGGCCCGGTGGCGCAGTGGGTAGCGCTGTCGCCTCACAGCAAGAATGGCCTGGGTTCGATTCCTGGCTGGGCGACCAGGGTCGTTTCTGTGTGGAGTTTGCATGTTCTCCCCGTGTCTGCGTGGGTTTCCTCCCACAGTCCAAAAACATGCAGTCAGGCCAACTGGAAATGCTAAATTGCCCCTAGGTGTGAGTGTGTATGTCTGTCTGTCTGCCCTGCGATGGACTGGCAACCCGTCCAGGGTGTATCCTGCCTTCTGCCCGATGACAGCTGGGATAGGCTCCAGCACCCCACCGCAAACCAGAAGGATAAGTGGTTTAGAGTATGTGTGTGTGTGAGACCTTCAAGCCCTCAGATGGCACTTCATGAGAAACTGTTATGCTACTGTGTCATGCTACGTAGCCACATGGGCTCTGAAGTACTTCGGAAAAGGGTTGGCACTTAACGCAGTCCACCGCTGCATCAAGAGATGCAACCTGGAATTCTATTACTCAAGAAGAAAGCCACACATCAATTCTACGCAGAAACGCAGCTGAGTACTCTGGGGCCAAGCTCATATCAGATGGCCCAAAAGACAGTAGAAATGTGTGCTGTGGTCAGATAAGTCCATGTTTCAGCTGGTTTTTGGGAAAAATTAATGCAGAATTCTCTGTGCCAAAGATGAAAGGTACTATCAAGACTTTTGTCAGCAAAAGATGCCAAAGTCAACATCTGTTGTGGTATAGAGATGCATCAGCGCCCACAGCATGAGTGACATGCATATACGTGAAGGTGCCATTGAGGCATATACATCTTTTCAGCGGAAGTCACTGTTCTGGCAGGCGGAGTCAATGGTTATTTCAGTAAGACGATGCCAGAACTCATTTTGCACATGCTACAACAGCATGGCTTTATAGAGACAAGAGCGATTGTACTTGACTTGACAGTCCAGATATGTCTTTTCCTGAAAATGTACGGCACATCATGAAAAGGAGAATCAGACAATGACGATTACAGACCATTGAGCAGCTGTAGTCTTGTATTCAGCAAGAATAGGGAAAATTCCATTTGCTAAACTGCAACAATTAGTATCGTCAGTTCCCAAATGATTAAAAAGTGTAATTAAAAAGAAAGGTGATGTAACACAGTAGTAAACACTCCTCTGCCCTAACTTTTTTTGTGTGTTGCAAGTATCAAACTCTAAATTTGTTTATATTTACAAAATACAATTAAGTTGGTCAGTGAATACACTGGAAATCTTTTTTTTGTCCTTTTGTAAGTTAAATAAAAGGTTTAAGAGAATTAACAAATCACAGATTCTTGTTTTTATTGTATTTTACAAAATGTTCCAACTTTTCTGAAAATAGCGTTTGTTAATTCAATGCAATGGAAGTAAGAAAGATCTTAACAACTGTGGTTGGACTACCATGCTTTATTCAGTCACTTGCACTGGGGAAAAAACTTTTGTCAGCAATACCTGATGCCCAAGTTCATGGTCTCAGCAGTCCCAATCATTCCTATTGCCAACAGCATGTTGTTGCAGATCTTGGCAGCCTACAAAAAGAACGTGAGAAATGCAGGATTACACAAGAAGAATCAATAATTCATGAGTTACGTGTGAAGCACAGCAGAAGAATTACATGTAGTATCACAGGCATACCTGCCCTGTTCCAACCTGACCGCAGTACACCACGTTGGCACCCATGCAGCTCAACAGTTCTTTGGCTGCTGTGAACTCCTCCTCTGCTCCGCCCACCATGAAGGTCAGCTTACCAGAAGTGGCAGCTCCCACACCTCAGGAAATCAGGTAAACAAAATATAAAGGTGGTATCTAACATATACATAGGAGCTTCACCTGAATCTGGTCCTAAATGGCCACACTGCTGCTGTTTAGTGTTTTCCTGCTATAACATCAGCTTGTACATTGATTCTGACAAATAGAATGCTATTGCATGCTGTAAGTGGAAAAACATAACTGTGCATTGTTCAGAAGAACTGAATTTGATTAATGTGGCTACTTAGGTTACCATATAATCTAGAACTGAAAGCAGTGACATTTCAACTGGGCTGAAGTTCAGGAGGAGAATATTCTCTGTACAGGTTAAACAGTTTTCAAGCCTATTCACAGTTAAGTATCTTTCCAAAGAGGAAAACTGTCAGTAAAATAAGTAACATGTGAGACACCTTTTTTTCTGATGTCACAGTACAAACAGACCTGCAATCTTAGTCCATACAGGTCGATGCACATTCAATACCCTGACAAGATATGCAACAACAAATAAAACAAACAGATAAGTAAATATAAACAGAGAAGCTTAGAGCTTGTTAGAGCTTAAAACCTCATTGCAAGCCCCTAATTACACAGGCAGGGGAAAGTTCTATAATTACCACAGCACAGCTCCATTTGCTTTCACACAAGGTAGTTTCACACAACAGTGACGTCAGGCTCGGTTTTGTTGTGGCTCGATTTTCATTACGGCGTGTTCGCAGGCGGCACGGGCCGAGCTGAGAATAATACCTACCGGAGCGAGCAAGTACAGAGATCGAGCAGGTTTGTGGAATTCTTATGACTGTTTTGCAAACCCAAAAGCCGTTTCAGCGGCACTTATGCCAAACCAAGCTGACGCAGTCTAGTTGGGAGAGGCAACAATTTAAGGAAAGAGAACTAGTAGCACGTTGTTGTTTACGTGCCCATAAGCCAGAGGCAACAACTTCCTGATTAAAAGGGAATACTGGCTATAAAGCAGAGTGGGTGCTGGCTGAGTATAATATACTAGGCTGCTTTAGAACATGAGGTTTACCTCATGCACTCAGCCAAGCTTATATGAAAGGAGGGCTGGGTGTTCACAGTAAATTTCTGTTTAGGAACAACTGTTTGTGATTATTTCAAAACGTACAGTCTGCAGAGATTACTTTTTGCTACAAATTCTATGGCACCATATTACAAGCTTCTTTTTTCCATAGCCACAGAATGGCTACATGTGTATGCTGAGGGTGGCCTAGGTTCCAGTGCTGCTGTTGGTGGCCTAGACTTGCCACTGCACAAATCTGACACCTCTGTGGCCAAAGCAACTTTCAAAAACGAAATCAAGAACGAAGAGGGTCCATATATCTACGTAATGGCCGAAAATAATGATATACTGTGTTAATTAACCAGCTGCTCCCCCAGAAGTGGAGCTGAAAGGTTTAAAGCTCTTGTGTGAATAATCCTGAACTCACGGCCTTGTCAATCAGGCTGCAGATCCTGAAGCTGATGGCAGAAGAACTCCAGAGGTGGCGCTTCAGATTAGAAGCTAATGTAGACACTGCAGCACTTGGAGCGGTGCTGTTCCAAATACACTACAGCAACTAACCTGCCCCCAGTCAAGTTGAGTGTGGGGAGTTAAACAGCTTTAATCCCAGTGCAGTGGGAAGAGAAGGAAAGGCATAAATCTCCATTAATCTGCTGGGGCTGGATAGTAAAACCTGGCTAAGGAGCTCAAAGAAAGTGGGCCATATTAGGTTGAGAGGTGGAGAACAAACAGAAAGCATGCTTGAAGGATGTGTGTATATACTGTATAGTTATAAGTGTGTGCACATGTGCTTAGACTCCAGGAGTCAGTCCATGTGTGGGAAATTAGCTGCCTTCCACCCTGTTTCTCCCCTACACTAAAAGCAAATGTGTGTTGAGACAAGTAGGGCCTACTTCTCTTTACAGGCCTCTGTCTCAACTCAGCCGGACAGCTATGTAAAATTTGAGACTGAAGTGTGATACAGTGCTTGCTAACACTTTCATCAAAACACCAACTGAGTTAATATCTTTAATATAGTAGAAAGGGGTTCCATCTTTTCAGTGCAGTTCCAGAGACTTGTAGAATCTATGCCAAGGCATTGAAGCTGTTCTGGCTGCTGATTATGGTCCAACACCTTTTTTGCTTTGTTACCCATCTTAATGTAGGTATGGTGTTCTTTCTGACGTCACAGGCTACGTTCCAAGCCTCACTGCTTGAATCAGATTTTTTGCTCAGATCCAATCTCTCTGACATGATGGTTCACATTGGTGTAGCTAAGTGACTCGAACATGTGTCTTGAAATGACCCACATGTGCAAATCATAATCAGTAACATCATGTGAATGTATCACTTGAGTCATGAACAGCAAACAAACTAACCAGCAGAGCAGGCCTTCAGTGTGAAGACACTCAGCTCTGAACGGATACGTATCCTATCTAGGACAACCGTATGACAGTGGCTAAGATCTGGCTTGAAAAGATCAGATTTGTGTGTCCACACTGCTCTGGAAACATCAGATCTGTGTTACATTAAGGCAAAAAACCTCACTGCGTAAATTTAAGTGTGTGTTCTCAGCACCTGTCTGAATCTCCATGTGTAGGTCACAAGATCACTTCCCAGATGCTGCATACTGGTCTTAACTATAACTCAACCACTCGACACCAAGGGCTGGATTAAGGAAATGGAAACGTAAAATGAAGCATAAAAAACTCACTCCTGTCTCCAGAACTGCGCATCACTGACTGAGGACTGAGAAAGAAAGACCTAACAGAGAGAGATGGCTTTAAGTTTGCAAACCTCCATGTAAATTGTACTCTGCCCTTAGTTTACTATTGAAAGTAAGTCATTGAAAGAAAGATTGTCATTGTTGGCAAATATATTTTTAAATATTTTTAAGAAGCTGTTGCAATGGAGATTTTGCACAAATTTTATAAAAATTAAAAAATAATAATAATTGCCAGTGTAGCAGGGCTATCCAATGACACAACAGCACCTCCAATCATCAGACAAGACATCTAATAGGGCTGCAACAAACGACTAATTTGATAGTCGAATAATCGATTATCGATTACTGAAACGAATAATTGATTATTTGGATTATGAATCACTACATTACCAAATAACTTATATAGTTTTTACCTTTTAAATTTAGCTTGAGGTTGTTTTATATATTTGCTAACTAACAGTGAAGACAAAGATTAATAAAATTCAAGAATTCACTGTTTCAATGAACTTTCCTGCTAATATAGAAGATAAAAAAAACTCCAATGTATTTTTCCTGTCAAAATTTATAACGAAGGACGTGCAAAGTAGCAGCAATAAAATATAGCAAAACTAAATCAGTTTTTCTTTAATGAAATAAATTTTTTAAAAAATCTAAATTTAAATGTTAAATATAAACAGTGCAGTCTGTAATCTGTGCATTCTGTTGTTTGTCTACACTTTGCTGCTACTACACTCTACAATCACAGGTCTTTCTACTTGTCTTTCACTTCTAATGGTATATACGCTATTTTTACACACTATTTAGTGTGGTAGTGTGCAGTTTGGGACGCGGCATATCTTACCGAGTTATCTTCTTCATCCAGTGAGCCGACAAGTTTCCTCTTCAGATGCTACAGTACGAAGGATGTGCTCCTGTGCCAGCTAAGGTCGGCTTACAAAAAGCAAAACTGATAACCTTTTTTTTCCTGAGTTTAGCTCCACACTTTTGAGGATTTTGTTCTTGAGGCTGCCATCGCGCTGTTGTTAATTCTCCAGTGAGCAGCAACGTCAAAACTCTCCTAGTGAGCGCGAGAAAGACGCATAATGACGTCACCAACTAATTTGCCAACTAATTTGCTCGTTGATTTTAGTCTACTAAGTCGAATAATCGTTGCACCCCTAATGTCTAATATGAATTAAGCCTGCCAAGTCTTCATTTTGGATCGCCAGTTAAAAAACAAGAGAGTTCTAAATTCTGACACTAGGTTGTTTTGCAAACACCTGAATTACATATATGACTGCATGCATCGACTGACTTCTTATTCATGTGCCAAGTTATTAAAGCCAAAAACAATCTTTGACCATTATGTTCCTCAGCAAATATAGCCTGTTAACTAACACTGCTTTGCAACAAAACTGTTTATTGCTATTATTAATAATAACCTTGTTTTTATTTATAATCTTCTGTACATTGATGTATTATTGTTATACTGTAGTCACCATTTTATGGAATGGCTACACAAGGCTGTGTTTTATAGCAGCTGTACCATGGTTAAGTGGGCTTCATGTCATGCCTAACAATACCCCTTAACCATATAAATTACTGGCTTTTTGCTTTATGTGGCACCTCAGTGCACCTGGAGCAAAATGCTAAACATTCATCTATACCATGCAAACATGCTGGTGCCTGTCTGCATAGTGACAGAAGACAAAAATGACACTGCTGTCCTTCTCGCACAGAAAACAACAAATTGCTTCTTCTCAGACACCTAACAGTAAAAAATGAGTCATCCTGAATCATGCTTTTCCTTACACTGAGCCAAGTTCAAGAAAAGTGGCTCAACATGAACTGATACCGTTTTGTACATACGTGTCAAAGCAAAAACACTACAGTTTAACAAACAGACCTGTCTTTTCCTGCTTTGATTATTCACGTTAAAGTGCACAGGCTTTTACCTCCAGATACTGGGGCATCCATGAACACCGCCCCCATTTTCTCTGCAGCAATGGCCATCTCCTTGGACACAGCAGGATCAATGGTGCTGGAGTCAATCAGTAATGAGCCTTTCTTTACTTTTCTGGGGAACAAGAGCAAAGCCTTTAGGACATTTGTGTTATATCTGAACAGTCAAAACAATAACACACCTGTCCATTCTGTCCCCATTAGCTATAGTTATGTATAGTTTCAGACAGAACTTGAGTTTAACAAAGCTACTGAGTTGGGATGCCAGGCTACGTATACATAAGGCTGAAGTAGGAATGTGACTACATTTAACAACAAAATAAGTAGCAAGGTGAGAGAATAAGAACAAAGTAAAGGTCCTTAATTTTCTGTAAAGCTGCTTTGTGACAACATCTGTTGTAAAAAGTAATATTTAAGTGAACCGAATTACTTCAGAATGCCGTTCGGGCCGGTGTACACATCAATAACATTGGGACTGGAGGGCAGCATTGTGATGATGCGGTCTGCCTTGTCGGCCACATCTGCAGGGGTGTCCAGGATCTAAGACCAAAAACCACAACGAAGGAAAAAAAAAATGTGAAACAACAATGAAAAAAAGAAGTGCTGTGCTGTTCGATTCAGGTGTGATTATATCTCATTTTTAGGGAACAGAAACAAGCCCAATTTAACGCACTGACCCTGCTGTGTACTGATGATTGTGGAATGGCTCAGTTAGCAAAAAAAAGGAAATATGGGCTACTGATATTATTTGGGGAAGCAGTTTTTCTGTCTGGTTAACATCTACAATACCATTTAGGATTCCCTTTGGCATGGACACAAGGAGGTGTTTTATGTTGGGGGTGCTGAAACAGCTTATACATGGCATACACAGTAGGAAAATCAAATTTTATTTTCAATTACAATTTTGGCTTCCAACAATTATAAAAACAGGATAACTGAAAAAAAGATTATTGTGCCGCATTCCTGTGCACAAGAATGCTTTCTTTTTTCCCCTGGGGGGAATACAACGGGAATAGTTTTTATAGTTCTACTGAACACAGCCTAAGATATTCCTTGAAATTTTAACCATCGACTGAAAATAATGGCTTGGTTAGCCTACCTTGGACGAAGCTGAAGTTATCGTCTTATATGCCACCTTACTAAATTTAATTTGAATTTTCTGTTCCACCTAAAATTGTGCAGCAGTTCCACTCAGACGCCTGAGGAAAATTTAATAAGAAGCTAACTTCGGCTTTCTAACTTGGATGGTTGATGCTTAAAATGCCAAGCAGATAAAATGAGCTTTACCTGGAAGAAGCAATGTAAATTCATACTCATCTCATGTTTGGGGAACCCTCTCAAATTTACATCCCCCTTCACAAATCAAGCTCTCGGGTGTGCATTCACTAAATGGAAATCAACACCAAGCAACACTGGAACAACGTAAAGCGAAAAAGCTCAAGGAAGGCAGCATGGCCAAAAGGTGGACACAATCAATAACAATCAGCCGTGTAACATTAACATCTCCTGAACTTTACTCACCCAAATGTCTCATTTACTAGAGCAAGGAGAAAACGCGAGCCACAGCTGATTATCCACACAGGATTCAAACAGCCGGCAAGTGCAGATTCCGAACGAGCCAAACAAGTAACTCCACAGGGAGGTTTAGCTTTTAATAGCTAGTCGTCTATAGAGAGTCCTGGATTCTGGAATTTACTTGGGAGTGATTGGGCCACATCAAATCCCTTCTCTCATTCATTTCAAACAGAAAGAAAGAGCCACACTTTATATACTGAAACACAAGACCTGGCTGTAAATGAATTTGTAATGCTCAGTTAGTTTAATACTGAGATGTAGCCTTGTAGCCCACAGATTTTTTTATTTACTTTTACTATTATGAGCCATGATAACACCTGTGTTTTGCCAAACGCACATGTGCAACCTGTTATTTAGCCTACCTATGGCTCTTTTGTATTATATTATATTTATTGTATGTGTTTTAAGAAAGGTACTTGTGCCAGGTATCTCTTCAAAAACCACTGTTGTCTTTTTTTTTGGGGTTGGATTTGCCAATAAATGAATGAATGAATGAATGAATGAATGAATGAATGAAAGCAAGTTGTGTTAGCCTTCTATTTTAATCCTGCATGGAAAACATATTGTAACGAGATGCAAAAATGGCAATACGCATCGTATCGTCAAATTTGAGTACTGTTGCACCCCTACAAGAAAGGTAAAACCAATTCTGCTGTTTGGAAACACTTTGGTTTCAAGAAGTCAGCTAAGTACAGGAAATAATGTGCAAGGTTTGTTACATGGTGGTGTATGCACCACACGGCAATACAACCAATCTGTGTTATCATCTGAAAGTCAAGTTCAATATATGACTGATGTTTTCAAAGTCAATGAGTAATAATGTTAAATAATCGTGAAATCTGGGCATGCAGCACCCTCCTCAGCACTCCCATTTCCTGCATACCTGCTGTTTGGTTACATGAAAAAAATGTAAGAAAACAGTCCAATCAAAACAAGCCATGTCAGGTTTGTACAACAGCAAAGAGGACCAACACTCAGGAAGCATGGGTTCATCCACTTCATAGATGCAAGCTAAAATATCAGATACTGTGTTCTTTTAGGAAAATATCATGATATTGAATTTTACCATTATCGCCCAGCCAAAATAACAGATAATGAAGGGTTCTGTCAATTTAATCATGGCTGATTTGTCCCCACCTGAGCACCCAGTTCCTGAAGTTCTTTACAAGACTCGGGAAAAACGTCAGAGGCAATCACAGGATAACCGTGCTTGATGAGGTTCTTGGCCATTGGGTTTCCCATATTTCCCAGGCCAATGAAGCCCACCTGGGTCTTGGAGGCCATGGACCTGGAGACTGAGACAGAACAGCTAACTATAAAAACATGCGTACAAGCCCTTGTGCAGTGGTGCTGACCTTCAGCTAATCTCAAGGTGAATGAATGAAACCAATGTTTATTCAAGATTTCCACTTGCTGAAGCTGACAAAACTGAGTGAGACGAACTCCACCAACTTTTCTAAAACACATAACTAAATAGTTAACATGTCAGCAAACCTATTCAAAGTGGTTTGGTGTGAAAAACTTTTGTCTAGAGAAACTTACTGAGTCAGAATCTTTTACAGTGGTGGTGATGGGAACCAGACATCTGAGGAGTTTAACACCTAAAAGTTAATACATTAAAAGAAAACCTAAAAGTGTTTAATACATTAACTTTTCAAGGCGGAACAATCCTTAAAGTTATACACGGCCATACAAAACCCCATATATATATATATATATATATAATATATATATATATATACACACACACACACACACACACACACACACACACACACACTACTAGAACTCTTATTCTGAAGGTGGGGCGAGTCCACTTTAAAAGCTCATTCCCAAAAAGTTATTACATAAAATGCTTATGAATACAGTGTCTGATGTCTGAGACATACTTTTACAGTAATTTTGGTCTAAAACACATTTTAATCAATTTACTTTAATGGGGGGTATATGAAGGGTGTTGTAAGGCAAAATAGTCCCCAAAGAAAACTAAATTGTTTTTAGATTGATCATTATTTTACCATCATCATTATAAAAACTCAAAAAACACATGTAAGTTCACTGGTGGTTCTGGATGGTAAATAAAATGACTATATCTGCATCGTAGATATCAGGGATCCTAGTTCCTATCACGGTCACTGTAAAGAAATCTGAGTTGGCAAGTTTTTCTGAAAATTAATAATTTCCCATCAAACCAATCTGAATGACTTTGTTTATATCTAAGCCATTGTGTTAGAATTCTATTCTAATTCTGTATCGAAAATGTATTATATCAAGATACAAAAATGGCAATGCGTATCGTATCGTGAAATCTGAGTACTATTATCCCTACAAGAAAGGTAAAACTTCGCTGTTTGGAAACACTTAATGTGCACGGTTTGTTACATGGTGGTGTCTGCACCACAAGGCAATACAACCAATCTGTGTATTCAATCTTTGTTTTCAGTTCAGTGAATGACTTATGCTTCTAAAGTCAATGCAAAATCGTGTTAAATTATCATGGTCTCAAAATTGACCAAAATAGTAGTGATTATAATTTCTGCCTTAATTGAGCAGCCATAATACACAGTAATATTGAGCAAAAATTGCTTTTTTTCCCATTTGATTTTTTTGGACAATTTACATCAAACAGAAAGTGTCATAACTTGCTAAATTGTGACAACCAACAACATACACAAAGAACTGACACATCACACTGATGAATACCCTGCTCACTCTGGCTCTGGACAAACTTTATATAAATAAGACGAGCGGCGACCAATCAGACTGACGATAAGTGGCATAGTAACTGTGTCCCACTCATAGTCAAGCTACAGGCTCATATTCATTTTCCTGAAGACACTCCTAGGGGAGCTGCGATGACTATATTTGCATTGTAGACATCAGGACTCCTGGTTCCCATCACCACCACTGTGAAGAAACCTGGATCGGCAAGTTTCTCTGAAAATTAATCATTTCCCAGCAAACCAGTCTAAATGACTTTGTTCATATCTAAGTTACTGAATTACACAGAAATGTTAAAATCGGTGGAATTCCCCTTTAAAGCCGGACATTCTGCAGGCTTTTGAACACTGCTTGCTTCTCTGTAGCTAAACAAGCTCGTTTAACCCGATAGATCATCTCTGGAACTTTCACTGGTGATTTTGACAAAAGAGAGATGAGGCGACAGCACACGCCTCACGAGCTGACGGCCAAAGAGCGACCCGCGACGTTAGCCGTCGGAATAGCCAATAAGCTAACATAACGTTAGCCAATACGTCTTAGTTAGCTAACCTAGCTAGTCGGCAAGGCTACAACTGGCCATAAGCTGCACCACAGCTTAAAGCTCACAGCACTGCCGAAGAGCTGTCATTTATTTTAGAGCTGTGGTCCCGAACAGGGCACACATGCACAGACTGTCTCTGCAGAAGAGGCGACACCGCGGCGCACTCAGACAAATAAGAGCCAGCATAACGTTACCCTGCACCGAGACGACATGGCCTTTCCACTTTCCCAAAAGACTCCGAGACCTCCTTAACAGCGCGGCCATGCTGCTGAGCTGCTGACCTCCGACTTCCAGAGCGAGCATTGGGTGGGAAATGACTGACGGCTCTTCTGGCCAGTACAGTGTGGAGTTTACTGTCTCCACCTCCGACAGCACTGAAGCGAAGGCGGGATATCCTTCGAGGTCTTAGTCCGACTGGCTGGATATGTTAGACTGAGGATGATCTGATACATATATCGCTTATTTTTATTACATACACATACAGGGCTTCGGTAATTTCATGTCATAACGCAGTGTTTTATGGGTTTACAATAGGTAAAATACATAAACTTTTCAAGGCGGGACATCCCTTAAAGTCATACACGAGTCCAAAACCGCACATATAGCGTTATATAAGTAGTATACTGTGTACTACTAGCACTCTTATTCTGAAGGTGGTGCTAGTGTTTGTTTGGGTAAGTCAGAGCAAAGATTATATACAAATATCGTCTCTGTATTAATCAGCCTGTTATATATATCTATATATAACATTTTTATATTATCTATATTTATGATATTATCTATCTATCTATCTATCTATATATATATATATATATATATATATATGTATATGTATATATATATATATATATATATATATATATATATATATAGATAGATAGATAGATAGATAGATTAAAAAAAAGTACAAAGTACAAAAAAATTTAAGATAACAGTGTGAGGATAATTCCGAAATAAATGAGATAGAGTTGCATATGTATATATGTGTGTGTGTGTGTTTGAACCACACTCATTGATAACAGGTGGCAGACAAACACTGGCAATAAAATGGGTCGTACTGAAGAGCTTGATGATTTTAAAGTGCCATGCCACCTACATGTTAATCCCCATGGTTTTGAAATGGGATGTCCAAGAATACGGGTGCGATGTAGAGGTGTCCACACACTTTTGGCCATACAGAGTGTGTGTATATCAGTCTATCTGTTTAGAAAAACAGAACATATGTTCACAACAGCTAATGAGAAATTCAGGTGTCCCTAAAAATATACATATGTATGTATGTATGTATCATATATATGTATTGTACATATGCAGTATAAAAACACAGTCTGAGCACATCGCTATGAGTAAAACTCTGTAATGTTCCAGCAGCCATCTTGTGGGAGAGAAGTAATGGGTGTGGGGCAAGGCCTGGCAGAAGAATTAATTTGGCAAGGGGGTGAAAGAAATGACTGAGGGGACAGGACTCAAGGTGTCTCTGTTTGTAATAGCTGACTATCAATGCACAATTGTTCATTTTCTTCAGTACCATCTACCAATCAAAAATATAATACCCAAGCAAACAACCCCTGGCAAAAATTATGGAATCATCCCACTTGGAGGATGTTTACCCAACTTTTTCACTTTGTTGCAAATAAACAAATCACAAATATGACACAAAACTATTGTTGGTTAATAGCTGAACATTCTGAAACATACTTCAAACAAATTAAATTATTTTAATTAATGACACTTTTTCTAGAAAAAGTAGAAGAAAGAATTATGGAATCACTCAATGATGAGGAAAAAAATATGGAATCATCAATAATCAAGACACAATTAGTACTTTGTTGCTCCTCCTCTAGCTTTTATGACAGCCAGACTTCTTTGAGGTATGGACTTTACTAATGAAAAACAGAATTCTACATCAAGGTGGTTCCAACTTTCTCAAATAGTGGTTGACAGCTCAGCTTTGTATGTTGGAGCCTTGTCAAGGACCAATTTTTTTTTTAATTTCCACCATATATTTTCAATTGGATTGAGATCAGATTGTTTGCTGGCCATGTCAGTGAGCTGATATGCTTTTCCTGAAGAAATGCTTTAACATTTTTTGCTCTGTGAAAAGATGCATTATCATCCTGAAAAATTACTTCATCACCAAACCTTTTTTCTATTGACGGAATGAGAAAAGTGTCCAATCATGAGGTAGTGATTTCCATCCCCTCTGGTCCTTTACCTGGCATATAGCGTCATATCATAACTGACTGGGGAAATGTGATTTTTTTTTTCCAGGTAGTGATCTTTACATGTTTCATTAAAATGACACCAAAGTTCCAGCTTGGCCAATGCAGATTCGTAATTCGCTACTGAATATCACTGTCGTTCAATCATCCACACTCCATGATTGCTTCTCTTTAATCATTTGCAACCTTGTTTTCATCTGTTTATGTTTAATGCTGGTTTTCGTTTGTCTTTTCTAACTGTAAATCCCATTTCTTTCAGAGCATTTCTTACAGTTCTGCCCCAAACATTCACTCCTGTTTCCGCCCATTTATTTTGTTGTGCATTTTCTATTTTCAAGGCATACTGCATTGGATTTTCTACCTTGACGCTCTGACATCTTCTTTGGTCTACCTGTATGTTTTCCTTTCATAACCTTCCCGTTTAAATTTGCACCTAATTTTAGACACGGCTAACTGGGAACAACCAACATCTTTTGAAACTTTCCGTGCTGGATTTCCTTCTTGAAGTTTTATAATCCTTTTCATTGTTTTAGTTGATAACCCTCTTGTTGAAGCCAGATTTTCTTTTAATGAACCAAATCCAACAGCTCGTTATGGTGTAGGCACTCCCGTTTAAGTGGCTTCTGCATTTTTACACTTGTGCTTGTATTTGTTTTAGAAATGCAAATTACAAGGTGATATCATTTTTTTCCCACTCCAAACAACATGCCACTAATTAAAACAATTTTATTTATGTTCCAGGAAGCCAGAATGTTCAGCTATTAAACAAAAATGCTTTGAGTCATATCTGTGATTTCTTTTATTTGCTACTGAGTAAAAAAATAAAGCTGGGTAAAATGAGGTGATTCCATAGTTTTTGCCAGGTGTTGTACCAACACCAGCCACACATGAAAACCAAATAACCGTAAACCCAGTTTCTGCACTTTACACATCTTATAATCCAGAACAAACCTAAAAGTGATAAACAAGACAAAAGATTAACCCAGAAGAGCTGCAACTGTCTTGATGTAGCTTCAAATCGCCTAAGCATTTTCTCGTTGTAAGGTCCCGTTCAAATGTACAGATGAATTAGCTGTGCCATTTGGTGTGTAACATACGCCTTCTGTGCTCGCTGTAAACGTCCTTCAGTACTGAAAATTAGTTTAACTCGTTGCTGTATTTGCTCCACATATTAATCTGAGGTTCAATGCTGTCTGTACAGCAGGCTTTGCTCGTAGACTGGGACGATATCTGTCCAAAATACTCAGAGGGGTCCATGTTTCTTGTTTCAATTTGTTTAGCGAATCTAGCGACAGCAAAGTCGGCATCTGCTAACACCGATGAAGCTAATGCGAGCTATGTGGACGGATTAAGTTAAATTAACTCTCTTCCACAGTTGTTTTGAATGACTGGACGGTTAGGATTTGCAATGTCGCAGTGCTAACAGCTGGAAGATTGTCGTCGATGCAGAACCAGAAGTCCAGGGGGCACGGCTGGATCTGATCCAACTCCTCCCACATCGTGTTTCAACTGGTATGAACGACCCCCCCCTTTTACGTATGTATTATGTAATCAAGTGTGACTGTGAAAGTAAGTAACCTACATAACGCACATTTTTTCGCGTTTTGAACTAGAACTCGTCTATCATAAGTACACCTGAGATGCAGGCCTACAGAACGGACTTTGTACCGGAATGTGAAAAAAGCTTTTCGAGTTTTGACAAATGAGTGTGAACGTGGTGAATCATGAGCGATTATAAAGGCTGTGTTGTGGCATTCAGGACGGAGCAACATCGAGAACAACGCCTGCCAGTTTCCCACAGATAAAAACGCGACAGGCTAGACCAATGAAATAAGTAGTAGGCGACACGCACTAGTTTAAAGACCAACAGAAATGTGATGATTTTAGACCAATGAAAAGAAGACGTGGGCGGAGTTGGATCAGGTCCGGCTCCACCCCTTTGGACTTGTGGTCCTGCAGCGAGTGATAGTTGACGGCTGGTGGAACGCTGTAGAAGCTAGACATTAAAAATCGAGTGGAGATGGAACAGTAAATGAACTGAACTGATAGCAGCACGTAGCTGTATCTTTGGGCTCACTTCAGGCAATTTCGACTGAGATGTCTGACCGGCTGGCTCAGCTTAAAAATCAACATAATTAATGTGAATAATAATGATAAAAAAGGTTGCAGGACAAATAACACAAACACAAAACTTGGGGGGCGTTGCCCCCGTATGTCCGCTTATGGCCCAGGGTCTGGTGTAGGGCTAGAGGGATAAGACCAGGGATGGGACCACATCACTTGTTAGATGTTCATGTCAGTGGAGTTGTGTCATGAAAGGACCAAAAATCCTGAGTGACAACTGTCACCTCCCTCTTTCTGTCTCCTTTAGTTTAATCTATTGAGTTGAAATCAAATGTGAATTTAAATGTTCAGTCAAATGTGAACTCTTATGAAACACGATATGGGCCCTTATAAAAGAAAAAAAAATAGGCCAAGGTAGAATGCAAACACTGCTAAAACAAAGCATATTCACTTTCCACTCCTTGTAAGGAAACTAAACTGCAAAAACAATCAGTTTTGAATTAAGTGTTTTGTGACATCATGAAAAACCAATGTGTTTACATAAATCCACCTGTTCAGCCTACAGCAGTTTAGCTCTGCCCAGCCATGTTGAAGTTATAAGGAGTGTCTCAGCCTGGTCTGCTTTTTGAATGAGGAACAGCGCAGAGCAGCCAATCAGAGCAGGGATCATTTGTATATGACTCAATAACAAAACAGCCTGTTTAATTCTAAGAGGTAACCAGAGGTTTGGTCATGTAAAAATAAAATTATTAATTATTTTTAATGTGCAGGAAAAAGTAGGATTTGGGACCTTTAACATCGGTGGAATTGCAAAGGGCTGACCTTGTCATCACAGTATGAGATGTGAAAATGACTGTGCAGGTACAGCTGTGGGAATCAAAAAATATACCAGAAAGCCTTTGTATCATTATTAAATAAGATTTAATTTTATTTTCCACAATATTTTTTTCGTTATGGGAAAACAAGAACTTTGTCTTTGAAACGATATATGATGAAAAATGCGTGCTTAAAACGACCAGGGACATGAACTAACAAGGTAAAAGCAGTCAATTTTGACTTCCAGTTTACTTAAAGGGAACACTGAGCATCAATATT